ATGTGACACAATGCTTTTGGAAGCAGTTAACCTTTTATATTCTTCATTTTGAAAATAAGGAGAAGAAGAATACAGCTGTTGTTATGAATAAAAATATACCTATTTTTATTTAAGGTTACAGAGAAAAAAAAAAAAACAAAACAAAAAAGTCAATAGGGATAAAGTAAGAAGCAGGCAGTCTGAATTACAACAGCTCTCTGTAAACTTAGGGACTGTGATTGATTCCTGTGTTTGGGTGACATAAAAAAATTGGTAGAAAGGTTGGTTTACAAAATTTTCATTTTATGAGTCTTTGATGTTGACATTACAGAGGACTCAAGGCCTTGTTACCTTTTTTATCCACACAGGATGTTGTAGAAAGCTTGTGTGGCCGAACTGCACCAATAATCTTAGAAAGCCCAAGATCAAGATCTGAACAGAAATTTTAAGTGAGGTGTGAGGGAACCACCTCATTTAACATTTTGTAGGGATCAATAGCTGAAGTAGTTACCCATCACTCTAGGAAATCAGTTACGAGAAAGAGTAATTTTCAAGTCCTCCTTAATCTAACCCTATTGAAAATTAAAATCCCCAAAATGAGTAACAACAAGGAACTGTTTCTCTCCTGTGCTTAGGAGGAGAGACCTAGGGGACAAATTTGGATGTTTTTGCACTAGAGATGTTGAAAGAAGCTGAATGCTATTTCCAGGTACTGTGACTAAAAGGCACCACTAATGAGAAATCAGGTTTTCTGAGGTATCCACATGGGCTCCACTAGCACAGTCAATGAAAAATTTGTTTGATTAACTTGAAAGATGGGAGGCAACTTGGGATAAGCCCTAAATGTCATGAGGGGTGATCCATATTTGAAACACACTCTACACATATTATTTTTCATCACCATGAAAATTGCTTATTGTTTTTATGTGATGTCAAGACTTACAAAGATTCTAACAAATTTTCAGAGGATTATGTGTTGCACTCTTTCCTCTTATGATGTTTTATGAAGAAAAAACATTATTTGTCCCATAGGACAGTGGTCACAGTCCTTTCACATACATTAAGGATCCCTTTGGTTTTTTTTCAGAAGAAAGGGAGTATTTTCCTTTGTATATTGCTGCAACAGATGTGACAACAAAGATTTAATATCAACGGGTAAATTCATTACTGCTGTAATATACTGAAGTTCATATTACTAACAGGATTAATGTAACAATTACAACTGAGAGAATTTGCCACTGAGATTTATCTTCAGTATTCACAGAGGCACAGTAATAATTGCCATTGTTTCGAGAAAACAATTGCTATTTTCAAAAAACAAAACAAGCTTACACAGGCAATCAAAAGTCATCATTCCTTGCCAAAGAAAGTAACAAAAAAAAGCCTGAGATTTCACTGAGTATCAATGAAATGATTTGTAGGTTTCCCAGGCCAAAATAAACACTGCAGATAAAATTCTGAGCAAACTGGAGAAGAGAAAATGAAAAAAAAAAAAAAAAGAAAAACCAAAAAGCTTGTTGCAATAATAAAACACTAGAACTTCCATGTTAGGAAGAGGAATTTGATTTGCACATAAATTTCCCAAGAAATTAATTAAGATCAGAAACATTTTAGGAAGTTCTTGGGCTTTGTTCTCAATTTCAAAACCGAAGTTGTTATAAAAACAAGACTTTATTCAAAATTAGTTAAACAGTACCATCTTCCTAAGTAAATACTTAAATCCTGACAGAAGGTTTAATGAAGGCTAGTGGGATTAACTTAAGAAAACACCCATGATTGGAGTGATTATTACAATTAGACCCATTCATGTCAGAGTTCTATAGTTCTATTAGATAGTTTTACCAAAGCTAGTGGGATTAATACAAAAGCAATGCCCAAATTTGAGGTCATTATTGCAATTAGAGTTGTACATGTCAACATTTCATGGTTTTATTAGAGAATGATTAATGTTTTTATGCTGGAGAAGGGAGTTTATTGTCTGCTCTCACATGTCATCAAATAAAATTTAGCTGTAATGCAATAATACTCCCCTAATTGTTGCAATCAGTTATGTTAAAGCAGCTCTGAACACACCAAAATATTTGTTTTTAGTTGTACCACACTACAGATTCTGATCTTGCTGGAAGTATGTCAAATAGAGAACATGCCCAGTAAGGTCAGACTTAAAGGAGCCACACAAGGATAAGATGGAATGGACATTCACAGTCATATCACCACCAAGACTTGCTGATGCTGGCAACTCAGTGTCCAACAGTTGTAGTACAGACTGATTTCTAAAGCTTTTTTTCGAGGATAATTAATCAGTCATATTCCCTTTGGGTGGGCCTCTTTTTTTTTTTAACTTTTTTAATGACTTTCCAAAACACTGATTTGATCAGGCAACAAACTGAGTGATGATGTGCCAGATTAATCAAGATGCCCGAATTCATATGATGAGACATAACTTGGCACTGCTTCTTATTACAAAGGCCAAAAAGTGCAGAATATGTTGTACAGTAATGGAAATGAAAAAGACTGGCTTTTCTGACTTTCTGAAAGACAGAATCCATCACTGTCTGCTCTATTTATTAATAAAGCAGTCTTCATTTCATACTTCCCAAAACCTCTTCATTCAGATTTGCTGTTGGAAGAATTGTGTCAACCTTGAAAAATAATGAAGAGTGTGAAAATTGAAGTCTGCTTTTTTAAGTGATAGTTTTAACTCTTCCTCCCAAGCTGTAGTGAAATTGTTAAAAAATACAAATCAGTGCAAATTTCTATGTTTAAAACTCACAGATGTAACTCAATCATGACTGGTTCTAAGAAATCATTTTTAGAAATATTAAAAATATGTTTATTTTTATTCTTTCCTGCTTTCCAATTTTTGAAGCTCTTGTGTATTGCCATACCCTTTAAAATGTAAATGCTGTATGACTAAGTATTCCCATTTCTTCTGACATACTAATTGCACAAGCCAAATTATGATTTGGATCTTGGCTGCACATTAACTCCCTAGTGCAAAACTGTTGGATTTCTGCCTGTGCTATCCATCAGAACGTGTTCTTTATCAGATCTACTCATTCAGGCCTCTCTGCAAAGACGTAAAATTCTGCTTCTTATATTACCTTTAATCTCCTTTCCCCTGCCTTCTTAAAACTACTGTACTTCATATATTATGCACTCTCATACTGTCTTAACTCTCTCCCTTAGAGAGTCACAGCCCACATGCTCCCAAGTCTGAGTGTTGCTCATGAAGCCACATTGCTTCAGTCACCTTTTGGCTCACACAATCCACTTCCCAGGCTGTCCTTGCAGGGCCTGTGCTCCCTGTCAGTGGCAGCTACCCATGTCTCATCCCTTTAACACACTGCCTTCCCTCATGTCCTGAACTCTGACACTCACAGTGCCACTTCACTCTCACTTCCCTTTAAGGTGCTGATGGGTTTTCATACCTCCCACACCAAGATGCCTTTTCTATTTCCTAGCATCACTGTGCTTCCTTGATGGCCTTCCCTCCATTTTAATTACTCTCTTTTGCTGCTCTTTGCTCTCCCTGTTTGTTCTTTCACACTCTTCCCCCGAGTGTCATAAGTCTCTCTTCTCTGCTTCACACAGTCTTTTCCTCATGGGTGTCCATTCTTCAAATGAGCAGCTCCCTGAGCAGTGGGAAGCAGAGTCCTCAGATGTCACTTGGCAGAACCAGCACTGCCAAGGTACAGGACTTTATTAAGACATGAAATGACAGCCAATGTGGTACCTTAAAATGTGTGTCTGGGAAATAATTGACTATGTGACAAATCTCCTCACTTGTTTTATTCTCTCTCTCTTTCTTTTCTTTCTTTTTTTTTTTTTTTCAGGTGGTCTGAGAACTTCAGCCAAACATGGTGTGCAAACCCATTGTACCCTGTAGTGTTAAGGTCCAGAAGCCAAATAAAAATTGCACAACACTGATTTTTGTTCTTACAATAATCTATAACTCTAGTGAGTATTTTGAGGATGTCACAGTCTGTGAAATATCAGGTTGGCAACAACAGAAGGTTCACAGCATATTCGAGGTAGCCTGAACATTCTTGGAACCAGCAACCTGCATGGAACCAGTGCTCTGCTGTAAAGGGATCTACAGCTGCATGTTTCCACATCTTGCTGGAGTTGTTTCATCATTCTGTGTGAGACCAGTTACCCTTGCTACTTCAGAGATATAAATCTGTTAATTTCTGTGTCTTGCACTTTTCCTTCTCCTTGGGTAGGTGAAGACATTTCTTGTGGAAAGGGAGAAGGTCTCTTGGCTCTGCTGTTTGCTGCTCTTCACATAAGTGATCACATGCAAACTGTACAAACATCCTCGCTTTCCACATTTTTGTGATCTAGTTTGACAATTCCTGAAATGTGAAAGTGGAATGTCACAACTGAACAAGGAGTTGTTTGTACAGGGTCACTTCCTCTTTCAGATATGGTGAATTTTCTTGCAGAAGTCATACACAGTGCGTTAACTACACAGAAGTATTGCACTATCTTCTACTTTATAATGTAATTAAAAATTAATTCAGTTTTGACAGCATAAACATCTGCCTGCACATTTATATACTCATAAATTGTCAAAGAGACTGTTGTTTCAGTTTAACTACTTCTGAATGGTATAAATTTAAGTAAAATTTATTATGCAGATAGAAAGGACAACTATATACAACATGGATGCAGTTCATGGTTTATTTCATAGTGGACACAATTATTTGAAATAGTAAAAAATAAGATAACAGTAAAAAATAAGATAACATACATGTCATGGAAACCATAAGGAAATGTTCTCTTCATGGTGTTAACAGGGTTAACTAAGTTAACACTTAGTTTGGAATTTGGCATGTGCTAGAAAGAGGCAAAAGAAAAAAAATCAGTAGGTGCCACATTGCAGCAATTTGTCCTTCAGACCAAGGTCAGCTGTTCTTGCCCACAAGTTAGCTGTATGCCAGTCATCCAATAAGCAACAGTCTAATTTGGAAGAAGACAAATATAGAAGGTTCCAAAATAGGTAGGAAAATGGCAAAGAGACCATCTGCAGATTATGGGCCTGGTTAAAGCAGCCCTAGAATATCACAGCAATTTTCCACTTGTGCCAGAGGTGTTACCATCGCAGCCATCACATGAATACACCTCAAATCTTCAGTGCAAAAAACAGATGGCAAACTGCAAAACTCCAGAGACTATGAGCTTAAACAGGCACTACAGAATGTGCATGGATCTTCTGAGGGGTCTCACCGTGTTTTCTGGACATCTGGGTCTGCTGAAGGAGTAGTCATGTGAAGCAGGACAGTTGTGATCCATGTTTGTAAGTAATGCCAGGAATTTTTTCTTAAACTACTCTACTTGCCTGCTCCACAGGTCTCTGCCAGATCTTCTAGGAAGCAACGTGTTGGAGAAAAACACAAAACCAGAATACTTGCTTTTCTATATTATTTTTTTTAATGCATAGAAGCCATTTTATTGAGGTAAGTTCTACAGATAGTAGTGGTAAATGGCAGTGAGTCACTGCTGTCATTCTGCACACAACTGTGTTCAGTTGCTAGATCTATCTGCTGTCATGTATGGCTAAATTAATTGTGGTTTAAAATTGGGGCTGGTTCTCAAATTCAAGCAGTTAATGTTCTTGTCTTCATTATGCCAATTTGTCTAACCAAAGCAGTTAATACATCTCTGTAAATGGAGGGGGAAAAAAATCAAAGAGAAGCAACTGTTGCTGACAAACTGACATCTATCAAATGTAATTTCTAATAATAAGTTACCTCATCTTTTGGGAATATTTTTATTCTTACTATTTTTAACTCACAACTTCTGAATTCTTTTCCTTACTTAGAAGTTCACAGATGGCATGTTGTTAATCTTGGTTTAAAGTTTAAAATAATATATTTTACAATACAACTATGAAAATTTGAATAGCTTAAATGGATAAATTATGGACTGCTGTCTACTTTCCAGGGCCTTGCAAAGCAATTGCTAAGCAAAAAGAGTTACATATTTTCAAAACTACTAGTTTTGAAACTCTGCTGGACCAGCCTGTTGATACTGTTCAAGTGCAGAAAAATGAACATAACTTCCTATAAGTTTACATGTCATCATTGTAATTAGGCAGAGAGTTTGACAAAATCTCATAGTATGGACACTTCCAGGCTTTCAGTTTGAATCTCAGTGCAAGTGCAAGTGACAATCTTTAGCCTGTCTGGTTATAGATCATGTATTTCATCACTGACATTATTCACCTGAAAGGAAAAAACCAGAAACAAACAAACAAACAAACATACATTTTACATCTATTTTATTTTAAATTATAATGCCCAATTTTGCAGTCGCAGTGGTAAGCTATGAAACAATTTGACAGATGGATGGATCTTATGAAATAATCGTTGATTGCTCTCTTTGTTCTTCCTGTACGTGTCAAAAGTAAACAATAGAAAGCCTTTTCTCTGTCATGTTGCTTCTCAGCAGACTAAGATGGAAAGTTGAATAAGTGCAAAATATAAATATTATGGCAGGCTTAAAATAACTTTTATTTGATGTTTGATTTCATTTATTCTGTGTTTTATTTCTTGAAGGACAAATATTTTATTACATTTAGCATTTGGATAAAAATATACGAAAAATGTCCAAAAAATAGGGAAAATAACACGCCGTGAGATGGCCAAACCTCAAATAAACACATCACAAATTAGGACATTTTTCTGTAAATTTAACTGAATTCACATAGCTTCTTGCTTTTAGGCAAATCTCAGCAATAAAAAAATCCACAGGATGTTAAATCTTGCATAAGGATACTGATCATAAATGTGAGGAAGGGAAAAAGCTACTCCACATCCATCATCAGTTTCTAGTACATTTCAGAACCTGGATATTATTGTGGTTTTCTTCCTTTAGTCCATTTTTAGCCTTCAGTTTGCTAAGCAATTAAAACCAACTAACCTAACATCAAAGCTGTCTCATTTTAATAGAAATACGTTTTATAGTTTTCATTATTAACTTGCAGATTTTAAATTGTGTGAAGGCTATTCCAACATGACAAAGATAATAGTGCGGAATGATGCAGGTTCTGTACCCAGTGCCTGTTAAGACCTCATGTTTGACCAAACAGCCTCTGGTGCAATGGTGCAGATGCTCAACTGCTGGAGTGTGTCTGAAAGCCAGCACACTGCTACTGAATTACAGGCACACTGTAGAAGTAGGAAGATGGGAGCACGGGCTGAGGGCAGGTAAAACCAATTTCATTTATATTCAGTCATGTACCGTGTACTCAGATTTTACCTGGGTAAATTATGCTTCAAAGCTGAAAGTTTTGGCTTAGTTCTATTTAAGCAGGAAAATCATAAGCTTTAATAGACAACACGGAGAGATGTAAGGGGCCCTTAATTGTCGCTGACCAAAACCCTCTTGATTTACACAGTGGAAACTATAAGCTTTCTTTAGATGCACCACCAGTGGATGAAATGACAGAATTTGTTTTTGCAGCAATTTCAATACAAACAAGACAAAAACCAAGCAAACAAACAAACAGACAAAAATTGTTTACCTCTTGCATACCAGATACTCCTTGAATTTGCAGTTTTAAAACATACTTCTTGGAATTTCCACTGAATCAGGGACTCAGGCTGTTTCTGTGAAGAGCCTACACAGGAATTCAGCTGTATTGGCACTAAGTCCTGCTAACAAATACCATGTTTACTTTATAAATTTAATCAGAGAAATTGTGATGGAAAAATAATTAAACCAGAAGAAATCATTACCATTATGGAAAACTTCTTTGACTAGCACCTTTTTCTGGCTAACAAGAAAAGTAGCTCTTAGGAGCTCTTAGGAGCCAATTCTTATCCTTTGACATGACAAGAGAAAATCATACCTATCCTGGTGCAGCTATTTAAAGATTTAAATATAAAAGAAAAAAGTTAACCTGATATATTGCTTAATGATATCTTAAGGTTCACTACCAAAGGGAAAAAAGAAAAAAAAAAAGGGCTTCACAATCACAATGGTTTTAGTGTAAGAAATAGGAATTTTCATAATTATGACCACTAGTGAAATATCTAATCTTTTTTGTCCTTCGGCCTTTCCTCCCACTCCTTCTGATAGTATTTTGTTCCTGTCATATGTGAGTAGGTAACACTTTCCCAAATTAATCTGAGAAATGGCCTTTCACAAGTGGTTTTTAAATGTGTTTCAACAAACATACTGTACTCATGTACTCATGCTACTGGCTTTAGTCTTGGCAAGATCATGAAGTATACAAATGCAGTGCCCAGAAGCCACAGTCATGCTGAGCCGTTCTTAGAGCAAAACTCTGGAGGGTATAGCAGGCACATTGCAGGCACTTTATGGCACTTCACACCACCAGCTTTTTGTCCCTGACAGCACTCTGCAGTTAAAGGAAAAAGACATCAACTCGAAAACAGACATGAGATGCTGTCCAGTTGAAAAGGTCACTGCAGCAAATGAGCAATTAGTGCACCCTGCTGCAATGGCTGCTTTAGGTTGAGAAAGGACTTAGACAAAACACAATAGCTGAACACACCAGCTTTGTAATCTGTTTGTCACAAGTCAACAGTCAGTGCTGCACAATGAGTTGGCAGGGTATAACCCTCAGGGACGGCGTGAAGCCTTTTCTGCACAAGAGCACCAGGCTTATTATATGTTTATGCCTACACTTGAAAAGACTGTTTCTTGTCAACATTTAATACCAAACTCAACTCTCAAACAAAATCTGCTCTGAAAGAAATTTTCTGGTGACAAAGTTCTATGTACTGTAAGTGCTTTGAAGAAATGCCAGAAAAATCACTTCACTAATTTGCAGCCTCATCGAAGGGATCAATTTATAAACTTAACAGATGCTTATTGCTTGGTCTACTGTTCATTACAAACAAGGTTTCTAGGAATTGTTTTCTGTACCAAAGTCCAGTATTATGTTGTTTAAACATTTGTTTTCAAGTGTTGGTTTGGCAGTCTGATATCAGCATGATTCTATCAACAGAAATGAAATCTAAAAGATCATAACTGCTATTTAATGTTTAATACTCATGCGGTGGTTTACAAAAATCAAACACTCTCTGGGAGAAGGTATACAAAGCGACAAAAGTCAGGAGGCAGAGGAAAATAAATAATGCAATGGAAGAGTGACATAAAGTCAGGAAAAAAAGATAGACTAGCCACTTAGGTGAGATTTACAATGGCAGAAAAATCTACATGCTAGAATTTGTAGTCAGTTGTTGCAAGCCATTAATGTACAATGAATGTGTGTTTCCCTCACTGTAAAAGATGCTCTAAAATCCAAATATCTTCCCCTGTGAGAAGCATAGACATCTGGATTTTGAGAAGGGAGCAGTCAATGCAGACAGAACTCTTCCGTCCACACTGACAGAGAGACAGCTGGCAGTGAAAAAAATTCCACAAAGAAATGGCTTAATTGTTCAAATCTGAGCCTTCTCACCTCCTCTTGCTCCCTGCTCCCAGACACCTTACAAACACTGAAGAATAGAAGGAAAGTCTTTCAAGTAAGGAGACGACAAAGGGTTTATAGGAACAAGGCAACATGATTGTTTTAACTTAGCAGGTTCACAGCTGACTTAAGCTGTTCTAAGACAGAGCTGCACCCAACAGGAAAGATCCTGTCCTCTCATCTACTCTCATCAGCGGGTTTTCAATGACTTCCTCTTCCCCAGTTCCCACAACATGTGGCAGCAAAGAAAAGCAGATTAAAGTACTAATGAAGAGAAAATGAAAGAGGAGAGAGAAGTGAAGTTCTAGGAGGGGAAGAGAAGTTCTGGGAAGGGAAGCTCCAGGAAGAGGAGAGGAGAGGAGAGGAGAGGAGATTTGTGTTAGACCCCAGTGTGAACACTTAGGAGACTGCAGCAAATAAATTATTGGTGTAGGTTTGCCTTTTTTTTTTTTTTTTTTTTTTTTTCTTCTGGAGAATTTTCCTGGAAAATCCTGCTTGGTGTTTTTCCCTCTTCAGTGAGTGCAGTTCTCACCATATGGATTGCATCCAGAATTGAAAAAGAACAGTCTAAATTAATGTTTTACTTTCAAGAGGATTTGGAGAGGATTTGGTTCTTTTTCTGAGTTTACCAACATCTCAACTGCCCAGGGAGAGAAAGCCTGCTTTCTAACTCTTTCACAGCACTCTACACAATTAGAATTTGACTAATAATGCTTTAAATTTTGTATTTGTCCACCAGTTACTACTACCCGGTACTTGCAATACTGTTTACACTGCTTGCTGAGGTATCTCTGACAGCAGAAGTAACTAAACTAATCCTAAGAGGTATTAGTGAAGGATGGTGCTCTCAGGCA